TTAATTGTGGTATTTAGCCGATAACTATTAATTTGACGATTAATCCCCTGGAGTCCCTGGACACCCTTATGTCCTGGTCCCATGACCAATTTAGTGGGAAATATTTGCTCTTCATAAAAATCTGTTCCAAATTGTGTCAGAATGACAGACTTCAGGCTGTGTTGATGGATAAATAAATTACAGAACTTTTTTTAATGCTCGTCATATTTGAAGCGGAGAGGAGCAGACTGACTGGAGAAATATCCGGTCAGCCTGCTTGGTGGCATTAATCATATTAATCATCAAGTGCCAAAAAGTAATCAATTAATGTTTCTGACGATTAATTGCACGATACGATTATGCCCAACCCTAGTGGGCACTAGTCCCCTAAAGCGCAAAAATGCTATTTGCGGACCTAAATTTCTCCTTTGCACTTTAAGGATTTTACTAATTTCTTCAAACGACGTGCAGATTTGCACTTTCTAAATTTAGAATTGAGTAGTGCAAGTTTGATYGTCAATATTGTCTAAAGAAAAAGGAAAGGGCCGTCTAAACCCACTACGTTCTGTAGCAATAAATTTCATTAAAGTTTCATCATTATTTTCTTGAACATTGGTGGGGAAAGTCATCTCCTGTCAATGCAATGGATCTCCACTGTGTGGAAAYAGCGACCCTTCAGGCAGCATTGTGTTCAGAGTTTTATACTCTCACTAACTCTCTGTTTTTATGAAGGTTTTCATTTAATAGAGAGTTCCCACAATTCTTTGGGTGGCAGGAAGCATTTGGAGCWGAGTGACAAACAATCCAGCCATCAATATTGTTGCTGGGAGGATAGAGGGAGGAATTAGAATTTATGTCCCGCTGCATCTTCACCGACCCGCTGTCTCAAGTCACRTTGCAGCTCACACGAAACAGCTTAAATTCACKCTCTTATTTTGAAATGAATGGGTTCCTGTTCGTCCAGTAACCTACCCAGAATGCATTGCTTMAKTTTTACAGTAAACATTTTAAAATTACTAATATATCTGCATGTTTTCTTACGGAAGCCCTACCATAAACAYAAGAAAATGACCAAGAAGCAGCAGAACTAGCAATCAACAGCTATTTTTTATTAACACCATGACTCAAAAGTCTGTTTCAACAAATYACCTCCCCAAACTACGACATGCGCCAATMTGTGAATGKTAAAYATCATTCCACTAGTTGGCAGTATTGCGCTGCTGACATGYCTTATGGTGACACTGGAATGTTTTCTGGTGAACGGAGACAGATTTGCACTTTATGATTAGCTTCTGCTAAGTTTTTTTTTTGAGCGTATGTGCTTTTGAACTTGCATACTTAATAAATTGACTAGTGCTTTAGAAATTGCGCAACTAAGTTTTGAATTAGCGCTGCCCACCACTGGTATGATGTAAGTTGGTACCCATCTAATTCCAAGGCTAGATGAGTTATTATTCATCCRTTATCTGTACCTGCTTCTTCCTTTCAGGGTCATGGGGGTCACAGTTCGAGGGGTGGGATACACCCTGGACAGATCGCAAGTCCATCACAGGGCCACATAGAGACAAACGAGACAAACAACCATTCAGTAGAGTCAATTTAGAGTTACCAATTAGCCAAGTCATGTTTTTGGTCTGTGGAAGGAAACYGGAGTACCTGGAAAAAACCCACACATGCACAGAGAGAAATGCAAACTTTACCCAGAAGGGACCTTCGTGCAGCTCTACCAACTGAGCCACCACACCACATGAGTTGTTAATAAATACTATAATCTGTTAAACTTCAGTTTCTCATTGTGATTTTATAAGCTAATAAATTAATAAAAATGTTTGAATTACAAGCTTGGAAAAACGCCAGAAGGAAAATTACCCAGCAGAATTATTTGACTAAAAAAAACCCACGAGGTCTCATTAAATGCAACGCTTCTGCTACCAAAATGTTGCCCTAAATATGTAATTTAATGTCGTTTTGCTGCTGCTCATTATAGAYGAAATGTTATGAATTTATAACCCTATGACGTTATCGTGGATGTGAAACCTCAAATTAAAGCTAAAAGTTGGAAGCTTCACACACTCAATTCAAATCTTGTCACTATACTGAATGTGCTGTAATTACAGAGTCGCAGGGTTGTGGGTGATAAAACTGTTTGTAAAATGATTCTTGTAAATCTTGAACTAATAGTCACCAAACATTGTCATTTGGCTGCTCTTCGAGGCAGGAGGCTGTAATACAGTTCTGAAAGTACTTACTAGGATTTATTGTTTTTTGCCCTTACAAAGTAGTTTCTTATATGTTTGATTTAAGGACAACTAAAATAATATTTTTTTTTGCCTTTTTTAAATTCCCATTTCCTACAACAACTTCTTACTGTCAAAGCTATAAGCTATAACCTAGTTTGCTTATGAACTTACTTGTTTTCCCAACTTTAGTAAAAACTAATTTTTAGCCTGATTATTTAAATTTTTAACTTTCATCCAAAGCACCAATAAAAAGAGACTATTCTTTAGTCATTGGCCAGTTGCATACCTTTTTGTGTTTTGTTCTGTTAATATTAGTGGTGGACAGAATGATGAGCAGAGAGGTCCTTCAACTGATCCTCTTGACACACTGTCCCGCAATGCTTTAGATGTTTCCCTGCTTCAACACACCTGACTGAAATGAATGTGTGATTGACAGGCTTCTGCTAAACTTGATGAGATTCTGAGTAAGTAATCGTTGGTGGGCCTTGATGGATAGCCCTTCATCAGAGCTAAACAACAACAGAAAAAAAAATCTGAAGCTCCAACGTTCAATAGTTTTTGAGTTATAAGCATTTTTTATGTCCAGACACGCCCTTTTCAGATGGAGCCCCCTCCTTAAATGTAGAGTCTATTGTAAAACTGTTGGGTGGCGCAGTGTAGGTTGGACACATCTCTATTCCTACCAAATTTCATACTACTCGGTGCATCCCAAATTTGTATTGTTTTAGATGGGGGGTGAGGTGGGGACTTGTTAATGGGCCTGATGGTTAGCCCTTTATCAGAGCTTAACAACAAAAAAATTTGAAGCTACTATATCGAAAAGATTTTACGTTATGATCATTTTTGTATGTCCAAATGTTCCCTTTTCAGATGGGGTAGGGGTGGGATGAGGGGCTCATTGGTGGGCCTGATGGATAGCCCTTCATCAGTGGTAAACAACAAAAAAAATTTGAAGCTCGCATATTGAATAGTTTTGAATTATAAGCATTTTTGCATGTCCAGACACCCCCGTTTTACATGGAGCCTCCTCCTCAAATATTAGGTCTGTCGTAAAACTGTTAGCTGGCGCAGTGTAGCTCAGACACATCTACATTCCTGCCAAATTTCATGCTGATCGGTCTGCCGTTTCTGTGCTATGGTTGACCAAAAATCTCGTTTCGTATGCAGGGGTCATAATTATTTGGTGTCTTTATAAAGTAGAACTGCAATGCTTTAGTTTAAATTCCTCCTTATTTTAACTCCATAAGCCCTTCTTTCTCAGATCGACCCGTTTTGAGGCTGCCTCTTTAAATCCAAACAAGGCCTTTTACACCCCACCCCCCTCCAGCTTTCAGAGCGGTCCATTCCAGTTTGATAGAGGGGTTTACGACTATATAGCTGCACAGAAACGTTTTATTTACAAATTAATTAAAAGATATTAAGGGAAGATTTGACCATTGAGCCTTGCATGTTGGATTCATAGTCTGACCCCCTAGAGATTCCAAGTACTCAACAAAATGTATTTAACGGCTAAAAAAGTGGGTTTTGCACGATATTTCCTCTTTAAAATATTATCCCACTGGGCTGTTACTGTTGGTGATTAATGCTTGTTATTTAAAGAATGGCACAGTGTTGACAAAGGACATTAAAGCAACGAGTTGTCCTTTGATTAAATTATCAGACAGAAATATGTTCACACAGTCCTCTCTGAGCCTGAGTTCTGTCTGCTTTGTGTGTCAGACTATTGTGCCAATTCACCATGTGGGACATATTTGTCCTTGTTGTAAGCCAACTTTGGGTGGAGGCTTGAAGATATCTTTTTTTTTGCTTTATTAATGAATATTTGTCAGTTTTGCCGATGGGGATGAAAACCTTCCAAAATGTCAGTTTCTTTCATTTTCTTCTTCTTTTTTTTTTTTTTTAGAAATGAAGCCTGCCTTGTTTTTAAGCTTGATAACTGTGCGTATTTGACATTATCCAGGGGCTTTTGAAAGGGTCTGGAGAGCAAGAGGTCAGGATTTTTCTCAAACTGTGGAGGACAACTAATCCTTTAATTGAAGTCAAAATACCCAAATGTGCCCGAAAACTCCTCAGGTTTGTGCTTAAGTAGATTATAAACCAGTAACACACACAGTGGAAGGGAGGGAGAATGCAAAACAGGAGGAAGATATTTCTGAATAATTGTAAAATCAAGGGGCAGCTCAGTTTAACCATTACGCCGTTCCATAAACATACCAAGGAGTGAGCGAGTTCAGACCGCTTTACAAGCACCGAGGACTTGTTCCCAAAGAACAACGGGGTTGCATGTGAGCTAGACCTTTGCTTTTAGTCAACAAATTCCTGCCAGATTAGGCAACAGGCCACTGTTTCTGCCCAGCACATCTTACATACCACAAAAAACATTCCCTGAGAAGCACCAACACATGACTCACCAGTTTGACCCAAACTGTAAAGAAGAACGAAGGAGTTATTCACAATTAATTAGAGATTTAATTAGGATTTAGACAGAATTTATTAGGAAGTTGCTGTGCGAATGCAACTACAGGGCATTATTTATGCATTAATAATGTTTGGTGGTTTGATGCCTCGTTCTGTACAAGCTATTAAATAAGCTGTATAATCAGCCTTATATTTTATTCAATGTTGGAATAATATGTCCATTAATTAATCATCTTGTTTCATTGCTTGAAAAGAGTTTGCATAGACAATAAATGCATTTTTAGTCGCATTAAAAGTTGTCCTTTAATCTTATCGGCATCATCTTTAATGTTAAATGCTTTTCTGTTTTTGTTGTTTTTATAGGGGAAAACTTCAACCTTGTGGCCAACTTTCTGAAGCGGCACTCGAGTCTCAGATGTGTTGTCAAGTGGGGTATGTGACCTAAATGATTTTAAAGACCCTGTAGCATTTTTAAAGAGTCAAAAATAGACATCTCAGTAGTTCATTTTCAGCCAAATTTCCCACAGAAAGAGGAAGTCATCTGTGGCCGGCATGTTGATCTTTCTCCCCTTCACTTGGTTTTTATGTCCTGTCCCTACCTGCTCAGGGTGTTGTTGCAAACAGGCAGCCATTAAGTGGTTCCCTTGAGAGGCTGCTAGAAGTGGGAGAGAGAAAAGCTGTGTGGCTGTCTATGGAGGGGAGTGAGAATCTATCTTCATGGCCCATCTACTGCCGATGACCCTTGGTCACCTTTTCATGGGACCAACATGGTTCTCTTCCTGTCAGTAAAGCTAATATCTGTTCCCTGGAGGCTGAGGTCCTGGATGTTGAGGCAGAGTGGACCTGCTGTAGCGCTTTATGTCAGCAGAATCGTTACACATCAAAATGTCCTGCTAGTGTTGCCGTATAAGTACACGAGGTATACTAGTCATGTTTCGTCACTATTGCCGGTCTTTGTTTAGATCCTGATTTTAACATGGACTTTTCTCATTTAAGATTTAAATTAGAGAGYCTTAGACTTTTAGTCTGTTTGTTCTATTAATGGATTTCTACCAATTAAACTCTGTTAAATTGTTTTGTACAAATATTTATTGTAACAAATCAGGGTGCACCATTAATCGGCATTAACATTGGTATCGGCCGATATTGGTCATTATTTAGAATATCGGTATCGGTCCGATAAGTAAAACTGGGGCGAAATTAGCGTCCAATATTGATTTCCCACTTTTTAGCTTTGAGTTTTTTGTTTTGGGAGGGGATATGGTTGATCGAGTGGTATCTGTTTGATCATGATACATAGGAATAACTGAAGTAGAGAGCCATGTCAGCGGTCTGGTCATTTATTCACGGTATTGAAAAAAGACACAAGTGTGTTTGAGCGGATATGTATAAAAATTGTGTATTATCAGTAAATATTGGTTATCGGCCATAATGGCAATAATTGTATCAGATATAATTATTGGATATATTGGATTTCATATCGGTGGATCCCTAGTAACACATATTAATTTTAACTAGTACAAATCTTACAAATAACTAAAAAGTTCCTTAATGAGTCACTTAATACTCAGTTTCATCAAAAACTGTTCTTGTCCTTGATGTAGAAACTAAATGAGTTGAAAGTTCTTGTAAAAGGGATTAAATTAGGAAAAAAAATATTATGATAGTGCAGGGGGTAGGTGTTTACACGGCAGCCACACTTCCACCAGTGACCAAAGGAAAATGTAAAGCATCTTTGAGCGTCTATAAAAGGTCTATATAAGATGACGGGGGACAAATTTAGAAATGCTCTCTGTCCGTCTCTCCATTACAGTTTCAGAAAGCTGTAACTTTCACATAGAAAGGCTAAAATACACCAAATTCGGTATGAGTCATCCATGTTGCATGCCCGACCATACCATGTGGTCATATGCTGACATCATCAAAGCCCCGCCCCCTGACAACAGGAAGTGATCTTTTTCTTCCTTGGATAGCTCCATCTCTGACGCTCTTGACCTAATCAGCAACAAATTGTGTCAGAACACAGTTAAGAACTTGATCTCACTTGCTTTCAAACACGAAGACATTTTAGTGAAAGGTGCGGTGATGGCGGTGCGGCGAAGTCGGACATCACACCGTTGACAAATGTTTGGCTCTAAATTTCACATATTTGAGCCAATCAGCAACTAATTCACTATGGTCGATCCTAATCCACCCCTCTACAGGAATGCAGTCCAATTTTTGAGGGGCGTGGCCTAATTTCTCCACAGCGCTCCCTAGAGTTATTTTAAAATCAGCCCCAAATCATGCTTTGACCTAGCCTGGCCCTTGCCTTTCTACACAGTTCCGCTCAGTTCTAGTTTCCCTTCACTGCTCCGTCTGGGATTTCTCCCATAGACAACGATTTCTTCAGGAGAATTTCATTCGTGCCAATCAGAACAGAACGTCAATTTTCTGCGCAGTGTCTGCTTGTAGTTTATTTCACCTGGGCCAATCAGAAAACAGAAGGCGGAGTTTTGAACGATGTTGATTTTCTGCGCAGTGTCTGCTAGTTATTTTAGCATACGGCAGTGGAGGAAGTGAATGAAGCCAGTCCATGTTGATAAGGCTTCCAAATTAAGATAAATTTGTCTGACACAGCAGCAGCTCTCATTTACAGTCGTCTCGTTCGGCTCAGTACTTTYCTCCTCTCAGTAGGGTTGTTTACAGTGCACGGATTTCCGGTTAGCTTCTTAGCTTAGCCTCCTTCACAGTGGAGCTGGCACGCATACGTCACGGCCAACTGAGCCAATCGTTTTAAACTTTAACAGAGACCACACCTCCAGCAAGAATCGCTTCTCTATAGCCGAGAGTCCAGACCCTCGTACGAAGCAAAGCGAAGGACAGGGTCTGGTTTTTAACAGGCTTGCTTTGACCCAGAACAAAGAAATTTGTTACACCTGTGTAATGTCTCAGGACCTGCAAAAGTCTCTTGGAGTCATGGTCCAAACCCCACGGGAAGTCTTTAAAACAACACATAAAATAATTTACCAGAGCTGCTTTTACTTTTATTGGAGTTATATTTGACCAGTAGGATCAGTACTTTAACTCAGGTAAGGAAACTGAGTACTTTGTCCACCACTCATAATAGGTTTTAATGTTAAATGTAAATAATCCCAAAGGATGTTTAAGTGGTGTAGGTCCAGTAAGCCCCAGTCCGCAAAATGTCAACTTCATCATCAAAAATCTTAGTGAGGAATGGTTATTGTGAGCATCGTTAAAATGCCCTATGACAGGATAATCAAATGATTCCCCAAACCCATCGTTAAAGTAAGATTTTCAACATTTCTCTGCTGTTTATTTAGCTCAGAATGTTCAGCAGTTTTTACATTTAAACTGCTGTTTTGTTTGTGGTCCGATGAAAGGTTAATACTTGGTGTTTGTGTTAATTCCAACATCAACCAATGTTATTTTTGCCTGGATTTGACTTATAATTCGAGGTAAGCCCATGTTATTAACCAGGAAATTCTGCGTTGTTTCTCTGCCCGTTTTCAGATTTGCGTTTGTTTCCCGAACGATACGTCGTGTGTGTGAGCTGTCCAGAAGATGCCTTAGCAAATCACAGAAACCCAAGCCTGGCTGCGGTAAGTGCTGTTTATACTCCTCTATTTCCTCTTCCAGTCGCTTGGCTAAAACACCAGCATTGGTCTGTGTGATGTTATGAAGATACGTTGCCAAACTGTGCTCTCGTTCATGTGTACGGGTCGTCTTTACAAGTGGGTGGAGGTTGAACCAGGGCTTGTTGTAGACCACAAAAACAGAATGAGAAGAGGCTGGAAGTGTGTGAAGTAGTGGTTCAGATCTGCTAAATCTCTCTCTTGTTTTTGTTTTTGACATTTTTAAGCATCTACCTACACAGTTCTTGTTTGTCAAGCTCAAACTTTGGCAATCGTCAAAGTCTGAGCTCTAAAAATTTCACAATTTATTGTGACAACATTTTTTTCTCTTTAATATATACTTATATTAGCATTAAAGCCAGCATGAAAAATGTAATCAAATCAAGGCATAGAATTTCTTGAAAGAATGCATATCACCCACTGCCTTTCATTCCAGATTTTTAGCCTTCTTTGGTCAGATCTTGGAAATAACATTATAAGAAATTGCACACATTATTGACATACTGTATCTCACGCAATTGGTTCATCCGTCCCTTAGAATATATTTTGGGAATGACTCTTAGCTACAACCCCACCAAATTGTAGCTCAATATCTGTAAAATTGATGGAGTTGTACTCATTTTGATCAGCTGTGGCAACCAGCTTCAATCAAAATGATTGTAAGATACAGTGATTACAGAGTTTCGTTAAAATACGTTCAATAGTTCTTGAGATATTTTTCTACCAGACTCAGGATTACCTTTTTTTCATGGTGGCAGAAACTGATATAACAGATAAAGCAAAACAAATATAAAGACATCTGCAGAAACCTATTTTACATAGTTTGGGTTTTAAGAGCAATCAAATTCACAAAGCTGTGGGAAATTTGCTGGTAAGTATTATTGGTCATTTTGTGCAGTTGTGTTATAAATCGCTATTCTTTGTCAAAATGTTAATTTGGTACCAGAATCCCACGAGTAATTTGAGAGATGGTGGTGAAGCATTTCACCTTGGCAGTCGCATCAAGCAGAGACATCTTTCCCATCACGTCTCCTGATAATTGGCCTGCTGTATTTTTTTTCTTTTTCTATTAGGTTTTTCTTTTTTAATATCCCTGCATTTTCCACAGTTGGGCTTCCAATGAAAGCAGTGATTGTTAATATTTTTTGTCGAGCAACATCAGTGAAAAGTTCAGATTGTGTAACCAATTTTCCAGTTCAAGGAGGCATTGCTGTCTGTTGCGTTTCTCCGCTCAGGATGTGGTTCTCCAGGCTTATACAGAACAAGCAGAGGGAATTTTGGAGGGTGGGAGTCTTGTGGTGGGGTTCTCACTCGCTCAAACCCGAAGCCTGGTTTGTGAGGGAAAGATACCAGACAGAGTGGCTGAAGGGTTTTCACATGACAAAAAGGATAATTAGTAACCTTCCTCGCTCGCTTCTTTTGTGAGCCTGAGATGCTTTTTTCCCCTTCTCTTTAATGTTACCAAAAAAATACATAAACATGAGTAAAAACATCAGCTGTAACCCAGTGTTGATGTTAAGTATAATATTGCTGCTGTCTAAAAAATATTGTGGTCTTCGGTGAGCTTTGTCGGAGCTAAACGCATGCTTTTGTAGGACTCTTTTATCCCCAAACTTAACTGTAGGAGCATGAGAGCTGAGAGAAAAACTAAGCCACATTTCCATGTGTTTAGAGAAGTTTCAGGTTTGTTAAGATTCAGCTTGTGTGACTTTCTAAGGAAAAATCTGTAACCACAGTGGAAAAAATTAACAAATGAGAACCATTTCATAAGGTCAGTGGGTTATTTTGTAAGGGACTTAAGGTAACATCTTAGCGCGCCTTTAAATTTGACACATCGCTCCCACACTTGAGCATACCATTTGTAAGATGTTTACGCTTCACGCCTACACTGTTGTGGAAACCAAGCATTTTTCAGCAGTCCTGTCAAGCCTGTGCAGCTTACTCTGTTTATCCCCTCATTTTGCACAGGAACTTCCTGTATATATTTATTGGGATATTAAGGGATTCTTGTTAAAAGGGAGAAATTTTCCCCGAAATACAGCAAAAATAATTATGGCCCACTAGTCTCATGCTTGGCAATAAGCTGTGCAAACAGTCAAAGGAACATTCCATTGTTTTACCAAAACAAACAACTCAATGGTGTGTTGCTAATACCAATTGAATAGTTTATTGAGGTTTCAGATTAAATAGAACTTAACTTTCTATAAGAACTATAAATAGAAACAATGTTTCTGGCCTTGTCTTGAGCCTTTAAACACCTCTTGGGGCTTCAGTGTGAGGTGCTTCATTTGTTTGTGTCTTGGTCCCCCCTTCCAATGATTCATTGTCTTTTGCCTGAATAAGACTCAGCTACCCACCAGACACTTCGGTTTGGGTTAGATCCTGGTTTGAGTGCATAATGACAACAAGAAGCATGTGGAGSTTTGGTGCGAGTCGCAGTGTGCCAGTGGCTCACTCTTGCAGTGGGCCAAGTAAGCTAATGCAATACTCTTGACGTGTTGCTGCTACACATCCCATCCCGCTGCTACTCTCAAGCTGCAACGCCCAGTCTACGCTCTCCATGAACCAGTAAATACCGACCCCGCCCAACTGTTCTCCAGTCGCCTTTCAGTCACAAAATAAGTAAGATGATCAGATATTTGGAGGAAGAAGAAAGAAGAGTGGATGCTCTCATAGCAAAATTTATCTGACCCAGTTCTGGCCCACACAGTGCACCAATGCTTGGCCCAGATACCATAAAGGATAATGGTCCTTTGGTGGACCAGATGTGGTTTGCTAGAAGTGGTCCACGCCTGGGCCAGTGCCACTTAAACCAAACCACAAATGGACCAGTTGTGGAATTCCATATCAAAAACAGTGCCATCATTGCCAGACCTGGCAACCACTTGCCATGCCAGCAGTCAGCCAGCTTGACACCAGATCTGGCCCACATGTGTCTGCTATGTGGGTGTGGTCAAAGAGAAAGCTCCTTCATGCTGATGAATAACATTTCCTCCTCATAGTGGCCCAATGGTAGTGGCCCTGAATCCTTGTAAATACAGTATTTTTTTCTTTACTCATAGTAACAAAGTTATGGAAACACCTAAGCACAGGCATGCCACTTGTGTCGGTAGCATCATGCTAATGTGTAATTGTCTTCATGGATGTAGCTGCATCCTGACATGGCTCAGGTGAGTCGGGTGGCAAGGCTCAGTGTGTGGTGCAATACTTGTCATGGTAATATCATCATGGTGATGTAAAATGGTAAATGGACTATACTTGTATAGCACCTTTTTACCCAACCAGGATACTCAAAGCGCTTCACACTACAATCTGTGTCCTCATTTACCCATTCACACAGCACTCTACCAGATCTCCTACAAAGCTAACATGTACAATCAACAATGGAGACTAACCAGTGCCAATCATTCATACCCTGGCGGGACACACATCAGAGGCATTGGGGTGAAGTATCTTGCCCAAGGACACAACAACTAAGACAGATGGACGGGCGATCAAACCGGTGACCTTCCGGTTCCAGGACGACTCCCCTAACTAATGTATAGAGAATGGTGACGTATAGGAGAGCGCCTCGAGCACAGTCAGTTGCAGGAATAAACCTGAATACTAAGAGTATAGAAATGCATATAGGCTGTGTCCAGGGACTGCRTCCTCCGAAGGCTGAATTTTTCAGCCGTTTATGCCACAGCACCGCGCYGGAGGCTGTCCAAATTGAAAGACTCCTCCAATGCCGCCGACAAATGTGTCCTCTTTCCCCGATTTGAGGGACGGGTCCAATGGATCCTACTTTATATCCCATAATACATTGTGGACCAACTGGAGATTTTTTTTTCTGCCCATAATGGCTTACGAAGCGAGAGAAAGGAGTACAGTTTTAAATAAAAATTTGGTGKTATAAAAATTAAAAGTTTCAAGTGGTTGTATTGTTAATGCTTTTGTCATTATAGACATGTTTTTAATATTATTCTTGTCAGAAATCAAACGAGCTGGTAGAGAGAAATAAACGTACACCTATGGTGGGTCCCTCAGTTCTTCAAATACTGCCTTTTAAGCTAATTTTGTTGTTTWATTATATTTATAATATTAATATATTGATATTTAGCTAATTTTGATTTATTTTTGCCTCTGTTTTGTTATTGTCATGATTGCTAGGGGATAGGACATAAGCCGGAGTAAGAGTTGGAATAAAGCACAAGTCTAGACCATTCAAATTCCAAACTTTTTTTCGGTCTTCACGGTCGACCAAGGACCCTGCCCATAAATACCAGGTAGGCCGGGTTCTTCAAAGGACCCAGCCCCTGAATTTCGACACAGCCATATTAATATTTCCCTACTTTTTGCATCCTGTGTACTGCAACACTTTGTAGTACATTTATCAGTAGAGTACATGAATAATTACCTTTTGTTTTGTGTACAATATGAACGAACAGGCAACTCTGGAAAATGTCTGAATCTGTTACTCTGGACACGATCAGCAGGTTGGATGCAACCACTCTTATTTAATAGTTTAAAACAAATGGGTGGAGTGTGTCAGGCGCCGCTAAACGATCCAACAAGTACTTTAGTTTCAGAATACTGTTTTCTTTAATGTTTGGATTGTTTTGTCTGGAGTTTACACTTTTGACATCTGTATTAGCCAGAAGCTCTGTCTGTTATGACTCAGAAACACTGAAGCAACTTTGGCTCTGCAGAGGTAGAGGCTCTTTATTTTCCTCGAGACGGTGGGAACCAAACAAAGGGTTTTGTGCGTTACACAATTTCATTGTTTTTCATGACATTGGAAGATTGAAGCCCTGTATCTCGTGAGTCAGAACCCGCAGCGAGAAGGGCAGCTTGGGAAGGAAAGAGCTAGTGTTTGGGATTGTCGCCGTTGTTTTCTAGTCAGGCAGAGAGTGGGCAGCTGAGGTGAGTGGCGTGCTGTGCCGCAGAAGTTTGGATCAAAGGGAACGCAGATGTGTTTCCAGTGC